TTTTTTTTTTTTTTTTTCTTTTCTGTTTCTCAAGAATCATTTAAGCATTTTTTGATTTAAGGCCAAACCAGTCAATGTTTCTGTCTAATTTTTCTGGCTAACCCTGTGTTTATTATCCTTAGGGAGCTAGAGTGCTGGTCATTAAAAATCTTCCCTCTTGTCCCTGGAGGGGATGGGGATGGGGACAGGGACTAGCCAGCTGACTTTTGCACAGTGATTTCCCAAGGTGGTGGCTTGCTCTGTGTCCAACCCTGCCTCTACTGCTGGGTCTGGGACCTCTGTGGCCAGCATTCAGTGGGGACAGCCACCTCCCAGACAACCTTCACAAAAGGGAACCCAAGAACGTGTGGGGGGTGTAGGTTGGTGAGAGAGGCAGAGGAGGAGGCGGGTTTGTATCAGATCCTCATTTCCCAGTGCTGAACTCTTTGAGGTGAACATTGAGGCTCCTTGATCTTGTCAGAACCAGGTCCTGAGGTTCAAGAAGGGAAGGACTGAAAAAAAAAAAAAATCCCATCCTGCCCCCGGGCTGGAACTGGGATCAGACCACCAGAGCCCAATGTCTCTTGGTTGTTGCAGCCATGAGCAGCAAAGCCATGTGCCCATTGCCTCTGGTGGAGGGAGGGAAGAGCGTTGTCAGCCTTTCCCTGCACTCCTCTTCAGCTCTGTGCTTTTTCTTGTCTAGAATTTTTCCACCTTCAAGCTAAGTGGTACAAAGAAGAGCGAGGTAGTAGATGAAGCAGTGTGTAGCATCCCCAAGCCCTGTGCTTCTTTCTCTCTGCCCAGCTCTGTTCTTGCCTTTCTCTGTGATTTCCATGTTAAAAAAAGGGATTGTGTGCCCATGCATGGCTTTGGAATGGGGAACTCGTCTCTGTCTTTGCCCCAGGTGAAGGGAAAGATGTGGGCTGTGGTGGACCTGCAGCAGGTGAGCTTGCTAAAGCAGAGGGAACAGGGCAGGTCATCTGTCTTTGCCCCTTCAGAGAACTGGGGGTAATGCTCTACCCAAGTGATGGACAGAAAAGATGGGGTGGTTTTGTGCCTGTGTGGTTGGTATGAAGGACAACACGCTCAAGTCCACTCTTGCTGTTGCTTTCTCTGATCCTTGTGTCCTGCTGAGGTGTCTGTTGTCACGCAGCTCAGGCCAGCCTGTTCGTCACGTCTCTGTGGCAGGTAAATGAGGGGACCTTCTGGCCTCCAGGTAATGTATGAGTTGGGATGGAGGGAGAGCGTCAGTGCAGAATGGGTATTTTTTCCCCCTCTGCCCTATTTGGTGTATCCTTGTGGGATGCTAGTGACTTTTTCCCTCCCAAACATCCCCTGGGTTCTGTCCCTGTCTCCTAGCTCCTGCCAGCAATCTCCATGGCTGCTATGCCTCTGCACTGTGAAGACACGTGTCCAGGGTCACTCCTGGTCCAATTAGTGTACACTGGTGGTGAAGAGGGAAGGGATGGCTCATCCTGGCTTCACTGACCACAAACCTTGGTGAGAAAGGAGGGAAGTGAGTGGGAGAGCAGATCCTGAATCCTTCCATCGTTGTATTCTCCCCACCCCACCAAAAAAAGCTCCCTTCTGGTTTCTGAGACATTCGACAAACTCACACTTCTTATGGAAAGAAGCAGGGGGAGCTGGAGGTAAGGGGGTTGGCAGGAGGTGCTCGGATCCAGCACCAAGAAAGAAGAGCTGTTTCTAACGCAATACACTGACATTTTAAGCTTTGGGGACTACAGATAATGGATTAAGAAGGGATCTGAAATACTCTGAGACTAAGAATTCAAACCACTATTTTTTCCTTACTGTGTGGATGATGATGCAGTATCATCCTGGAGGTGGTCCAGCAGCACTTCTGAGCCTGGGGTCCACCTGGACCTACTGTTGGTGTTGCCTCTGGGGTGGCCCCAGAACACCCAGCTTTGGTAAAAGAATGCGTGGACTTGCCAAAAATAAAAGAAGAAAAAAAAAAAGAAAAAAGAAAAATAAGAGCATCTGTAAAGCTCCTTTCCACTCTGTAATTTATAAACAGCAAGTAATAATGAACTTTTTGTAAGGATAAATCAAATGTACATTCTGAAATCATTTTCTCTGTAAATGGTTGGATTTCATTTCACCCTTAAAGGGATGCTTAAAAGGAGGAGATAATAAAAATAAAAAAAAAAATTTACAAAGTATGAAAGGAAACCAAAGTGTGTGTGTCTGGCAGCTTTTATTTCTGATCTTCTGGCAGAGGGGCCACTGGAAAATGGACTGAGGGAAGTTGCTTCCCACCTTAGCAGGACTGTGGTCCTGAGAAGGGAGATTTGGCTGTTTTGGGGAATGATTCCCAATTTTGTGGGGCCAGGTCAGACCTAATCTTCTGCATATTAGGTGAGTATGAGCATGTAGAAGCACGTGAGCAGGGAATGATAGTTTCCAAACAGCTCTCAGAAGAGCTGGTGGATGTGGGAACCAGCATCACTGCTCATGAAATGGTCCCTTGTCACCATCTTCCCTCCCTTGGACAGAGCCACTTTTTCAAGTAAAGCCGTGGAAACCTTGGAGCCCCAAATTAAACCTCCCCACTGCAGAAATGTCCCTGCCTCTTTCGGCACACTGTGAGAGAATGTGACCTCCTTGTTTTAGCTTATTTTTAAACCTGCCTCACGTAATTTTGGCTGTTCCCATTACTCAGTATCAAAGCCCGGTCCTGCTCTGAATACTCCTGAGCATCTGGCCTCAGCAGTGCCTTTGGCAAAGGGCCTTTTGCAAGCTCATGGGCCATCTACAGCTATTTCACTTATTTTAAAGTGTCTTGCACTGCAGGTTCGTTCCTGGTCCCGTTTAGAGATAGTGACTGGAAACATCACAGCTTAGTTTTCTTATAATCATTAGATCCGGCACATTCTCTCCTCTTTTTCTCTTACACATCAGTCTGATGTTTTCAATTCTTCCCTTGTTGAAGGGTCTCCATCAAACTAGAGACTTGTGCTGTGTGTTGCTTAATGCCTTTCTGCTGCTTCTGTCTCCGGAACAAAGGGCCTGGAATAAACACGCCACTCAAGATTAGCTATTAAAATTTTCTATTAAGGATTTGTAGCATTCTTAGTGATCGCCATGTTTTTGTGCCGGAATAGGGGATAATCTAAAAATAGGTGATCACTAGAATGTCTGAATTTTCAATTTTTCAAGAGAAGAAGATAAGTATATAAGCTTAGGCCAATGGCAATTCAGCCACACAGTTTAAGAAACGAGAGTTGACTAGGTCAAAGGTTCTCCCATGTTATTTTTCTTGCCTCCAACGCAAAATCTTTCACTGACATTTATATTATTTTAAGAAGTAACGTATAATGGCATTTCTTCAGTTTCTTATGAGGTTTTAAAAGAAGGCATTGACAGAATCCAGGACCTTTTTCCCCGGAAAACAAGCCTTTGCTGCGGGAGCTCAAAGTGCCTCTGTGAGTGAGGGGTTGACTCTTCTGCAGACCAGTCCATGGGGGGGACCCTCCTTTGCAGGAGTAGCGCTGACAGTCATGTGGGGGGCACATGGCTCCACCACAAGCCTTGTGCACCCTCTTCGAGTCAACCCTGTGCATCCCTCAAGAAATATGGGAAGGGGTCTTGGTATGTGCAGTGTGCATCCTGGATACGGAGCCTTAAGTGCTGTGTTGAACCAGAGGCACACGGACCATCTGATGTCGAGTAAATCCCATGTGTTTTACAGAGTTTTGGTACCCCGAGAGGTGTTCTATGGGGAGATGCACCATGGATGGGCTGCCTGGAAATTGGCTGTTTCCCCCAAGCTCTTGCTGGATGTCAGGGACGCCCAACGCTTATCTCGGGTACCATGAAACACAGCTCAGTGGGGACCAAGGCTGCAGCAGACTCCCCATCTCTGGCTCGGGGAGAGGCTGGCTCCAGATGGTTCCTGGCTGATGTCTGCAGCAGGTTTGCTGAACGGGGGATGGACATGCTGTTTCCAAACATCGGGGTGCTTGGAAACACAGTGACTTTGATATAAACTTCCCTTACAGCACCGTTCAGAAAGCTGGGAAGGGGATACCAAGAGCCTGGCTTGCTGGCTGTTTGTTTTTTTGTTGCTCAGATACATTTGTTCCCTGCGTAAGGGCACAGCTTAACAAGCTGTTTAGCTGGGACAGTTAATTTTTAATTATGACTCCAATTTTACATATATTTTTTTTAATAAATCTCACTGCTTTAGCAGCCCAGCTGGGGAAGCAGTGAGGTCCCAGCTGGCCGGCAGGCAGCCCATGGAGCAGCCAGGGAGACAGTGGCCCCAAGCCCTGGAGAACGTCACCAGCGAATGGCTTCATGCTCACGTGCCCCCAGCTGCAGGCACTGGCTGCCCTGCTTTCCAGAGCACCGCGACGGAGAGGATTTGGCAGCAGCCATGGCAGAAGGGAGGCATATCCTTCCTCCTGGTGATGGCACGTGTTTCTGTGGCTCACAGGCAATGCTCAAACCCCAGCTGTGTCAGACCTTCAACTGGGGCTTTGCTCTGTCGCTGCAAAACGGCCTCAGGAGAGCCCCCTGAAACTGTCCCACCCCAACCCGGGGAAAAAGCTCCGGGTCACTGAAGCGAGAGGCTGACATAAGGGGTACAACCCAGGGATGCTCAGAGAGGAGCCTGGCTGGGGGCCAGGCTGCCGCAAGCTTTGCCTTTGCAGCCGCAGCGGGGACGAGCACGTCAGCAAAAGGGTGAAGGATCAGCCCACTTCAGCTAAGGTTTGGGATGTGACTGCTAACATCTTCTCCGAGAACCCCAAACATAAACCCTTACTTGGAACGAAGGCAAACCTGGCAGCTCTGACATTTCTAGCGTTTCTGGGTGTGCCTTCTTTATAAGCAAAGTGGGAAGATAAAATAGACCTGACTGTCTTTTGAAACACATTATCGCTATGTAAGAACACAAATCTTTCAAGGCCGTATCTCTCCTCACCCTGCCAAATGAAATACAAAATAAAACTCCATTGTTTTACTCTTGTTTCCTGTG